ACTTCTAAACATCCAAATACATAAAGGTTTTTTCTATAAATTTTACTGCAAGTTACAACAAAGATTTAAACAAACTATAAAAAATATACGATTCAAGTGAAGCTAAAATTCAGTCGGAAGACTTACCGTGGATTGCCCTTTTCCATCCCACGGGTGTTGTTGCTCCGAAACTTATTTTGATTATTCCATTAGGGGGAAAAAGGGATCTTTCAATCAGACACCTTAACAGATTTTATGATTAAACTGAAATTCATCTAGAGTGGAGAATATTTTTAAGGATGTTTGGTCCCTGTGATACTCATAAGTCATACCTATTGTTTGGTAGTATATTACTATGGAAATCATTTAATAGGAAACATTAGAGATATTGCCCCTATTATTTCTCTGTTATCGGGTATTGTTCTAGTTTCGAATTAATTAACTTTTTAGTGGAATGAAATCGATTCCAAGCCACCCGAGCAAAATAGACCCATAGTAGTGGCGTTTATGATTCCCGTTCCAATTCCAACGCCAGAACATAAACCGCACCTCTTTAGTTTTTATCTTAATTCAACTTCTGAAAATTGTAGTGGTGGCTCCTATGGAGTTTGTCTTGTCTATAAGCCTGTTTCACCATTGGGCCTTTTGAAATGCATTATTGGGCTTGAAATGAATCGATGATACAGGTTTGATGACAACTTTTCAGGAAATTGTTTGTTTTTAGGGAATAATAGGATTGGGCTTTTTGAAATTCATGATAGGGCTTGAAATGATACAAGTTTGATGACAACTTTCAGTCCTTGATGCATTGGGCCTATTTGGTTTTTTACCAAGTTTTTTAGCTACTAGCAACTTTTACTACAGGAACCCCAAAAAATTTTCTAAAATTTTTTACCTACACACTTCAAAAATCTATACACAAAAAATTTCCCAAAAACTTTTCTTCCTCCCTTACCCAACCCACCACACCAGCCACCACCTCTCCCGGCGCCGGTCACCTATTCCGATGCCGGTAACTTCAAAAAAAATTTTTGAGTCCCTCACCCTCTCTCCTCCCCTCCCCTCTTCCCCTCACCCTCCCCCGCCACCCTCCCCCTCTTGCTAGGTGCGATCTGGTTGCGTGACCAGATCGCAAAGGGGGAGGGGGAGGGGGCCTGCGATCTGGTCTAGTCCCAGATTGCAGAGCAGAGAGGGGGAAGGTTGCGGAGAAGGGGGAGGGGAAGAGGGGAGGGGAGGGAGGGAGAGAAAAAACAAAAAAAAAATTAATGCACAGCTGCCGGCCTTCCTCGGGCATCGGAGTGCGAGGGGGAGGAGAGGGAGAGGGGAGAGGGGAGGAAAGAGGGAGAGTGGGCAGAAGGGGTGGCAGGCAGAGGGGAGAGGAAAGGAATGGTGGAAAAGTTTGGGGGTGGTGAGGGAGAGGGGAGGAAAGGGGTGATGGGGAAGGGAGAGGAGAAAAGCAAAAAAAAAAAAAAAACAGAGGTGCTGCTGGAGGTGGGAGACAGAGGAGAGGTAACGGGGAAGAGGAAGAAGAAGAGGAGAGGAAAGAAAAGAAAAAGAAAAAGAAAGAGAAAGAGAAAAAGAAACAAAAAGATAAAAAGAAAGAAAAAAAAAGTTTTTCACTTTACAAAAATTTCTACAAAATTTTTCACATTCCAAAAACTTCTACAAAAAAGTTTTTCACCTTACAAAAACTTTTATAAAATTTTTTCAAAAACTTCTACAGTGCACTACAGTAAAGTTTTAGACAAACTCCCAAAAAACTCAGGTTCCAAACAGGCCCGTTGTTTGTTTCGGGGGAATGATAGGGAAAGGAAATAAAAAGAAATAGAGGGATAAGATTTTCTATATTTGGGCTAATTTTTTATGAGAAGAAAGAAAGGATAGGGAGAAAAAGGAAAAGATAAGATCTAATTATTTTTTATTAACTTACTTTCTATCTCAAAGTGAGTGGAAATGGAGGAAAATGAAATCAAGATTAATGAAAATTTTGAAATTTCTTCTACTCTCCTATGTTTTCTTTTCCACTGAAATCCTCTCCTTTTCTTTCTTTCATGCCAAATAGTATAGGCAATACCGTCAAAGGATGAAGTGAAGCGGAATGTGTTTGAGTTGGAAAGAGATGGTGCAGCGGGGCCAAATGGTTTTTTTGCCTTTTTTTTTATCAAGTTTGTTGGGGTATAATCATATAGGATTTACTGACTGTGGTTCGGGATTTCTTTTAAGGAAGATAATCCCTTTCTTTATACACACCCTATAGTGTAAGGAAAGAACGACAGAAAGCCTCAATTTTTCTACCGAATGAACATGAATGATCAAAGGATAAAGTGCCCTGAGTTTATTACTTTTCCCTCTTAAAGAAGTACAAAGAATGAGCTTTAGTTGAAATTTTCGAACAAATGATTTTGACATCTATAATATATATATATATAATGGAAGAGCTTCCTATTGGTACAAACAATTAATGTCACTTAATATTATACCAAAAATACCCTCTAAATTTATTTTAAAACTATTCAAGTTCCTTCTTTCTCTTTATCATTATCATAAGTACATTTACTCACATTTCCGCTTTTTCTCTACCATCATTTTAAATACAATAACTTCCTAAAAAAAATAGTATCCATAAGGGATTGAATAGAGCAAAGCAAATCCGCGACACTTCAACATGGATCCATTTGCAGATCATCTCTAGGACTGTCAATGGGGTCGAGCCAACCTGAGTTCGACTCGTTCAGCCCCACAACAAGTCCGGTTAGCCCGATATTTTAGTGAACCGGTTTGAATTTGAGTCTAAAAATTAGGTCCGAATTAAATATGAGTCGAGCTTGGACCTTAATAGACTCAAACCCCATATAGGTCCAGCCCTTTAATTACCTATATATATAATTTTTATATTTTGTATAATTATATATCCAAATATATTATTACTAAATACTAAGTATATCTAAATTACAAAATATAAAAATACATCTGAAGACTCTTCTATGAGCTTTCTTGAAAGCCAATATTAGTAATGCATAGCTAAATCTCTAACTTTTCTTATTGGTTGAGTATATTTTTGTGTTAGTATAATATTGGTTGATTTCTTTTTTGGTCTAGAAACACAAATCATCAAACATATTTGGATTCAAATTATAAGGCTATAAAAAAGTTTCAACTTTTGAAGATGTATTGGTTTATGACCGCATGTTTTATTACTATTTTTCATGTATTTTGAACAAATTAAATATAAATATTGTTGAAATTTTTTTGGTTTATATACTTTTTAAGAATTATTATTTGTTCTTGTTTAGTTTTAATATTGTAGTCCTGTAAATGTTAAATTAGTTTTACAACTTAATAATTATAGTAATTATATTAAGAAAATTAAGAAGTAATAAGTGAATTTAGGTTAAACCCGAATAAGGCTCACAACCCGATTATTACGTGAGTTGAGTATGAGTTTCATATTTATTAACCCGAAACTTATAGCCTGAAACCCGAAGATGTTACAAATTAAATGAGTTGAATTCGAACCTATGAAAGTTCGGCTCATTAGACCCAATTGACAGGCCTAATCATCTCGCGGATCCTTGTGTTAATTGGTGCAGCTTGTTTATCCACTTGCACACTTTTCTCACTTCTTTTTGACCATCTGTATGTACTAACTTCTACAACAAATTGGGAAACTCTTAGACATCTTTTTATTGACTCTTGAGAGCAATTAGGAGCAAAGTAGCTAAACTTTTTTGTATAAAAACACCTAGAGATTTAGGAAATTTTCCAACATTTTCATAGCAAGATTTGTAGTAGAAATTCTATCGTACTTGAAAGATTTGAAGACAGAGTAGTAAGAGGAGCATGGAGGAGCTTTATCACTACATTTGAAATAAGAGCTCTTCATTTTTAACTCTTTACTTCTTTACATTCATTTATTATCTTGTTGCAAGAGAAATAAATGCTTGTACTTGCTTAAATCTATTCATAGCTAAACTACTTTCTCATAAAATTGAGATGGATGTATTTGTATCAGGATTTGCAATGATTATGGTTGATTGTTGCTAATTATTGCACTTGTTATTTCATGTATTCATGTTTTATATTTGTGATTACTTGATCGCTAATTGCAAACCATCTAATGTATTGTTAGGAGCAATGAAAATTATTTTCAATAATAGATTTGGATTCATAAACCCTAAAGAGTATACTTATGAAAGTAGAGATACATTTAGGTAGATTTTTAAAAAGTAATTTCACACATCTTAACGATCTTGTATCTAATTATTCAACCATGAAAATGGGTAAGTGATAGATATATGCATACTTGATTCACCGGTGAAATTGGGTTTAAAATACACTAGAACATTACTCCTTGGTAAAATATTAGTTAATAGTTTCAATCAACTTAATCAATTCGAATCTAGAGCAAACAGAGGAGTCAAAAACCTTAGGAAGTGTCTTTTATTGATCCTCAATTGTTGTTTCTTTTCATCTCATCAAGTATACTTTCTTGTATAACTTTTACCTAATTTTTAGTTGTTCAGATAGTAAAAGAGTAAGTTTACAAGATTTAATAACTGCAATTGTTCCTTATAGAATCGATCATAACTCGTATCGACTTGTATACTTGCAGAGAATGATAAATATTTATTACTTGATAATTATTACTTGACATACAAGTACAAATGCACAATCAGTATATATGATTCAGTATGGCAATAAGGGTAAAGAAGTAAATTGATTTACAAAGGAAAAAACTATTTGTCTACAAATTGTATTTGTATAGTACTTATTTGTTCAAAAATTATTTGTATGAATCATAAGCATATCTTATAAATTATTTTTTTTAATCTTTTCAATCAATTTTTTATTTTTTATACATTACATCACAACAATCATTATAGTAATTATTTCAAATAATATTTTAAATAATTTATTGTTGACGATAATCCTTATTCCAAATATTCCAATTAATTTGGTGATAATCTTAGATTCGGAGCCCCAAGTCCAGAACCCGTATTAATCTTCTAATAGCAGGCCAAGCTCTCTCTCTCTCTCTCTCTCTCTTTTTCTCTCTCTCATTCATTCTGCGCCACCATGACTTCGGCGGAGCAGCCGCTGAAGAAGCGGAAGATATTCGAACAATTTAAACAATCATCACCATCACCTCCACCTCCACCTCCATCTGCACCACCGTCACTACCAGCACCATCACAACAACAACATCCGCCACCGCCAGGAACGCCGCCAGCTCAGCCTCTAACGCAGGAAGAAATTTTCCGAAGACAAGGAAACCTCGAAGAAATTCGTAAAGTCTACAATTGCCTCAAGCAAATCAAATGCTGCATCGCCCAAGAGGAGCAGGAGCCCCGTCACTTGCCCGAACTAGAACAAGCTTATCTGTATCTCATCACTGCTTCCCGAGGTTAGGAATAAAGTTGATCATTACTGTTTAGCCCCTCTTATTTTGAGAACTTTACGTTTTTATACCTAAGTTTCTGTTTGCTAATTTTCTTGTTCGGTTTTAAACGCGGATGTTAGATTGGAAAGGAATTTAGGCTAACTAAGTTTAGGGTATTTTGTATTTGGAATAACCGGAGCCAATTTCGCATTGAGTTAAATTTCATTTATTATCTCCTGAAGGTTCGATTTGTTAAGCGTTGGAACATAGAAGGAATTGTAAGAACTGAGGAAAAAATGTGGTAGAAGTGGTGAGAGAGGTGTTGAAAATGAAATCCTACTTAACCTCATATGACTCAAGCTAATTTTCACTTTAGGCTCCGCTTAGGCAAAACCAGCCTAATTCAAACCAACACTATATGTTTATGCTTCTTTTTTTTTTTTAATTCTTTTGACGAGCTCAAAGTTGTGTTTGAGCTTAGATTCGTTACTTTTTCAGCTGGTTAAAATGAGTTTTTATTGAGTCAAGCAGGAGTATAGCACGAATAGCTTGATTGGCTCGTAATAATATTTGAGTAGCATGCCTATCAGTCTCCCTCAGCTTGAGAAGTAAATAAATTTGCTTGAGCGTGGTTTTCATTGCTTGACAAAGCAATCCCGAATAAGCTGTTGCAGAGGCAAGTAGCTTGATCAGTGTTTCAGAATAAGCTCTTATTGAGCTAAGTAGCAGAGTTCAATATCATGCCAAGTGGTCTAACAATAAAGTGGCTGAATATGTGCAGCATTTAAATGTATATGCATGATGGTCTAACATCAAAGTTGCTCTTATGTTTTTAGTTGAGTCCTACCAAACAAAAAAAAAGTACATTTCTCTGTGAGGTTTTGGCAGGAAGGTAGTTTACATTAACTTTGTGAATTATTAATGCTGACTTTCAGGCTGTACAAGTGTACAACGTATAGTAGCTGATTTGATTCCCAGATATGCATCATATTGTCCTACTGCACTTGAAGCAGCAGTAAAGGTTGTTATTAATATGCACAACTGCAGCTTGGCATTGATAAGCAATGGGGAGGATTTTGACGGTGTTGCATTTGAAACTGCCGAAGCATGTATTTTTGGTCTGGTTGATATCTGCGGAGCTGCTGCAAAGGAAGCACCAACATCATCGGTTATTCAAGGCATTTGTTCGGCAGTTTTTCTGAGTGTGTTTACCTTCTTCATATCTTCTTTTGAGGGGAAGGATATTTTTCAAATTATTGACAAGGAATCTCTAATGATCCAAGATGCCAAAGAATTCACTTCTGAGTTCAAGGAAAAGTTTTTGGATGAAGGAGATTCAAAATTGTTGAAATTACTTAAATTTCGTGCTGTAAGTTTCCTCAGGTTATTCTTTAGTTGCCCAAAACATTCACTTTCAGCATGCTTTGAGCTCTTCGACTCTACTGCGACAGATGCGACAAACATGGGAGGACATTACTTTCTTCGTCAACTGACAAACAGGCTTGATGATGCTGTTTCTTATAATTTGACTCATGAAAGTGATGATGAAAAGCCATCTCTAAGTTCCATGGGAAAAATTTGTCAAGGCAACAATGTTGGTGCCTATCGACACTTAGAAAGCAACCTTGTTCCCGGAAATGTTTCTGCAGTTTCCAGGAACTGCATACTAAGCCTGGTGAGTTTTTAGTGTTGCTTTAGATTGTTGATTTGGTACCAATATTATGTTGAATTCTGGTATGTTCTCTTTTCCCCCTTTTGTGCAAAACTTAGATTTGCTCGAGTCATGTCTGTGAACAACATTGAAGCCTTTTTACAACCTGAGATCAAGATAGATATTGTTTGTATCCATATTCGTTAGGATTGGTAGGGAAAGAGCAGGGGATGGAACGTGCCCATTAGAATCTATGGATGGCTTTCCATATCTATTCCTGATTCTGGAGATATAAAATTACCCTTTTGCATTGGTTATCCAAGCAAAGTCACCACTAGTTTCAGGGCTATAATTACTTGACAGACTTGCACCTTCAAGGTATTGAAAGATTTATATAAGACAATATCAAGAGGACTTTCAGGCTTGGTTTCAGGTGCTCTGAAATCTATGTGAAAGGCTAGTTTGACGAACTTCCAAGAGCTGTATTCTGTTTGAATATTTTATTCTTTACTTATTTTGGTAGTTGAAGTATCAATGTTGGCTTATCATATAGCCCAAAAGGAAAAAATTCTGGAAACTGTACCTGAATATCTTCGTTATTATCATTTTATTTGAAAACTACATGGATGGAGCCTTTGTGTGTTGGTTATGGTCTATCTGAGGTGCAGAAAAGAGGAGGATCAACAACAAAATCTGCACAATCGAAGAAAAAATAATAAAACTGAAAAACTGACAAATAAAACAGCAACAGATGACAATGGCAGAAGAAATTCATGGCAAATGAATGGCCTCAAAGTCATCAGTATCAAAGGCAAATTCAGATACATGGAAGATGGAAAGCATGTGGAGACATCTGAAGACATCAACACAGTTACATTTGTATCACATGCAGCCCATGTGTGTTCAAGAGTCATGGTTTTTGAACTTTAATGCTTTACTTTAATTGTTTCTTTACTTAGTCATAGAATTTTTGGATGAATCATCAAATGACATGACCCGTAGATTGTACATGTTGTAGCAAGTCCCAACTATAAATAAGGGACTCCAGAGTATTGTCAATACAAGTTCAGAGCTACAACCAGGACACGAGTTCAGGAATTCGTAATAAACAAAAGCTAAAAAAAAAAACTTACAACAGTTAAGTACGCAGCTTTATACCTGACAGGAGCAATATTCAGATTTTGCTTGGTTTTCAGGAATTCGTAATAAACAAAAGCTAAAAAAAAAACTTACAACAGTTAAGTACGCAGCTTTATACCTGACAGGAGCAATATTCAGATTTTGCTTGGTTATGTACAGGATCTTTGAGTGAATTGTAAACTATACTAATGAAGTTGTTTGGAAAGAAAAGGAAGGTGAATTTTATTGATAAGGAAAAAACTTGTATCTATGATACATTGGAGTCCCCTATTTATAGTTGGGATTTATTACAATATACATGTATAATGATTCATCGAATAACTCTATGACTTAGCACAGAAACAATTACACTTCAATATTGAAATCTGAAAATCATGATTTTTGGACACAAATGGGCTGCATGTGCTATGGTAGTAGTTGTACAGATGTCTTTGAGATGTGTCTACGTGCTTTCTATCTTCCTTGCCGTTGTGTTTGTCTTTGATACTGATGACTTTGTGGCCATTCGTTTGTCTTAAAATTTTTCTGCCATTGTCATCTGTTGCTGCCATTGAATTTTGCTGCCAGTGTCATTTGTTGCTGTACCTATACTTCTTGACTTGCCATGTTTTATCTGTCAGTTTTTAATTTTACTATATTTCATTGATTGTGCTGATTTTGTTGCTGATCCTCCTATTAAATAGCTAGAATTCGATGCAGATAGTATGGAAATAGTATGTGGTGGCTGTGGTGGAAGATTACAAAAAAATAGCAATTGATGCAGATAGAGGGTGAATATCATATAAAATTCATAGCAGTGCAGTTATTCTCCTACTTAATGATGGACCAAATTAGATTCAACACTTTAGTAGATGATGTTGATCTTATCATTTGTCCCTAGGCAACTGTTCTGGTATTGTATTAGACAATCACCCTGATAACTATTCCCAGCAGACACTCTTTTATTTATTTTTTTGTGATATAGAGAATATTAAGTTATGCATCTTTGACCTAATTTGTTGATATAAACTTCTACCATGTGCCTGTCTATTTATTTATTTTTAATTTTTTACACTTCTTGTTCTTGTTGTGTATTCTTTGTTCCCCAATTGAATTGCCAAGTTATATTGTCAGATGGTTGGTAAATCAAAATATCTCCTCATGTTTTGGTCTTCAGTTTATGACCATCCATGAAATGATTGATCTAGTCTTTACACACATCCTCATCAAATGCAACTGGTGGAATCCTTTTTTTTTTTTTTAAAAAAAAGTCAAATTAGAATGCCACAATGATAACTGCGACTGTGTTGTCAGTCTATGGTTCTCCTTCTCATGTCCTGTTTCCGACGTTTTCTGTGCAGGTTCTTGGGAAAGACTCATCCCTGAAAAGTTGGATTTTCTCTAGGTACAGAAAGTTACGTGCATCAGTAGCTTCAGAGATTGTTTCAAAAATTACTTCTCTTTTGGATGGAATATTTGAATCTTTCACAGAACAAGTAAATAGAGAAGAAACCCAAGCCGATGATAACGAGAGTGAATGTAGCCAATCCAAGTATGTTAGTCAGTACTTGGTTTCTAGGGAACATAGTCAACCAGAATCATCATCTGAAGTTAGTGGGAAAGATTTTACTTCGATAATTTATGATAAACCTTGTGCAGACAACATGACTAGCAGATTTTCCAGCTCACATTTGAAAAGAAGCAGCTCAGTCGATTACCATTCAAGTGCAAGTCCCTCCATTGATAGTGGAGGGTCAAGGTCCATGGACTTTGATTTTGGGGGCCCAGGAGATTCATCCCATTCTAGGTCTTCTGTTCCAAGAGACTTGTTGAACCGACATATTCCCTCGCCTATCACAAGAACACCGGGGGGCTCAAGGAGTTCACTCCATGGTGTCCAAAGAGAGAAAAGTCAAGTTTTGAGCATGGACGTCTCTTCTCCTATCTTGAGGTCTGTCAGTGAAGCCATGAGTTGTTCTTTTGATTCACCTAAGAATCCTTTGTCACTGGGAAATCCTTCAATGAGTAAAGTGGTTTGGTACTCTGATGGTGACCCGGCAGCCATGGATGTTTTTGCAGCTTCTAAACAGCTTTGGTTGGGTCCTTTAGGTCCTGATGCATCTGAAGGGCTTGTAAGGTCTCAGTTTGAGAAGTTTGGCCCCATAGACCAGTTCATCTATTCTCCATTCAAAGGATTTGCCTTAATAGAGTACAGAAACATTCTTGATGCTTTCAAAGCCAGGGAGAATATGCGAGGACGTTCAACTTGGGGTGCTAGTCTTCAGATAAAGTTTTCAGATACAGGGTCTGGAACTAGGGGGGATATAAATGGGGTTGCTGTTGGTTCAACTTGCCATGTTTACGTTGGTCATGTTTCAAACCGATGGGTCAGGGATGAGGTAATGAATGAAGTCAACAAAGTACTCCATAAGGGACCTCGCATGGCAACTGATCTTATTGGTGAAGGTGCATTGCTGATGGAATTTGATACACATGATGAAGCTACTATTGCCATGGCTCATCTGAGAAAGTGGCGCAAGGAAAGTGGTATCACTCTTCCGCAGTCACATGGAGGTCCTGCTGATGTGATGCATTTCGAAGGAAATAAGTATTATGGTAATAATGTAATTGATGCTCAAGCACCGTCCGAAAAGCCATCTGATGGTTATTTGCCCAGGGTATCACGTTTGTCTTCTATGGTTTCGCAGTTACGAATGAAGTATAATATTCCTCAAAACCTGGCTCATCCTGACACTCATTTATCTGGAAATCATCACATTGCTTCCACAAAAGAACAATTACCAACGAATATTCTCTGGATTAATATCCCCCAAATGAACCCCATTTTTCTCACTGATGATGAAGTATTGGCCCTTTGTAATGTTGCGATCAACAATGTTGGATCTATTGTCAGGTTGACAAGACAAAATATATCTACAGGTTCCTGTTGGTTTGTTGAATGCAACAGCATAGAAACAGCAAGAACTCTTCTAAGCACTCTTCGTGATTGTCCAGAGATATTCTTCCAAATTGAATTCAGGTTAAATTACTGCTGATGCTTCTTTGTTTCAATCATTTTCCTTTTCTGTTGATTGATAATTTCTGTTTCTGCTTTATCCTTGAAACTAGAGTTTTAGGGGTATAGCTCATTCACTTTATACTTTTTTGGGTTAATACAAAGAAAGACAATCTTAAAATAAGAGGCATCTTATTTGTAATGCTGATTTTATTGAGCAAACCGTGTCCTACAACATGTTATCAGTTGGTTTTGAGACTTTCAAGAATTGGTTTAATGGTTTTCGGTTAGAAAATGAAGGAACAAAAGGAAAAAAAAACATAGCCTCAGTTTTGCTGGTGCAGTGAGGCACATTTTATTGATTGCATAGGGATGTTGAAACGAGCTCTTTTAGATTAGATTTTATAATTGGTCACCATAAAAAATGAAGAATAGCAGGCATGTGCAAATTAATTGGGTGGCACTTCATTTTTCCTTGACATATCTATGCATTTGTTGGAGGCATCTCATCCTTTCATGCTTTAATTTGAGGACTGAAGGAAATAAATTCATGTTTTCTGAAACTCATGGGTGCCGTTGCCTTTCAGCATGAAGCAGTTGCTAGACTCATATTTTGATTAGCCTAAAGCATCATACTATAGTTCATGCTTTGTATAAAACTAGTGGTATAGGTGCACTCAAAGTTGTGCAAATGTAGGGAATTAATCGAGGAAAAGAAACAAATGGACAGTGAGGCTAAACTTTTTCAAGTGGTGGCACCATTTTACCCATTAGTGTGAGGCTAAAGGAAATACAAAAAGCGACAGAAAAGTTAACTCCAACCCCTTTCTCTGGCTTTGTCAAGTAATAAGATATCGGTCCTGTTGTTATAATATTGGGCGCGAACAGATTATCTTCTACTTATTCTTTCTTCCTTCCATCATATATGTATGGTGTCAACTACTACAGTCCTAACAGAAGTATGTCCTAATGTTTTCAACAGTCATCTTGGAAAGCTCCAGACCCAGCTCCTGGTAAAGCCTGATGGCAATGCTCTGGAGCTTACATCACCCAGACTAAAGCCAGAAAATCATGGAGTCATGAGGCAAGGTGGACATGCATTTCAGTCAAACTGGGCCCATGTTGGTCATTCTGGCAGGCATGAAGTTCGGTCAATAACTCCTGAAGCATTGTTTGTGGATCCTTCTCATGGAGGTAGTTTTTGTTATCTTATAAGTTTATGTGCAGAGGATGGTTGCATATATTGAACAAAAACTACATGTAATCCTTTATTTTCCTTCGTATGCTGGAGAAGAGTAAAATATTTTCAGTGTTTATGTTTTTCTTGTTCATGCTCAGGGGGTCATGTTGTTTCAAGTTCTGCTGAACAGATGTGGATGTACAGAAAGCCAGAAGCAGAGCTGCATTCTGGACCACGAAGCATTCCGCATATATCTGCACCAACTGTTGGGCCTTCTATTGCACCACCACTACCAGTTCAAGCGCCTTATTTCCGACCTCTTAATTTTCCACCAAATAGTTCATGGGATGTGCGTGGTTTGAACAACCATATGCCTATAAATCCAATTTCACCTCGTGTAATGCCGAATGTTCATCGCAATCCAATTCCACCACCATTTATACCAGCTTCTGTGACTCCGTTAGCTCAATTTCATGGAAACTCAATGCCTTCATTTGATCAGATGTTTTCTGTTCCTGCAGTTACACCACCTCCCCTCATAGCTCCCTTACCCCCTTCTCAACCCGATGTCCAGCCTCCATTACCTCCATCCCAGCCTCCACCCCCACCTCCACCCCCTTATTCTCAGCCACCTGTCGCTCCTCCTCCGCCTACTTCTCCACCTCCACTTCCACCTTCAGTATCTTCTAGTTCAGAATATAGTAAGCAGTCTAATGTACAACACAAGTGGCAGGGAACCTTGAGCAAAAGTGGTATACATTACTGTACAATTTATGCACAGAGAGTTGATTCTGATATTTGCAAGTATTCAGATGGGATGGTGGAGCCAACAGAGTACATATCTAATTCCCACTTGATTATTTGGTAAATTGAATTTGAAAGACTTCTGAAACTTTCTTATTGCTGTCTGTCCAGATGGCCTATTAAATTAGATATGACAAAGCGCACTGATTTCCGGCATGTCAAAACAACATTTTCCAATACTCCGCCACACAGAGTGAGTTGTTGAACACGCTATTCAATTTCTTCTCTCTCCCTCCCTCCCTCTCTCTATCTCTCTCACACACACACTGGCGCACCCATAAACACACATACATTGTGGTAGCGCTACTGCCTTCTACAATATCTCAGTTCCTAAGCTTTGTCTTGGTCTTGTATGTTAGCCGGGCATCAAAAGTAGGTAGTTTCAATTTGTTTGGCAGATATAAGTGTTTTAAGTGTATTGAAATCTTTTTGTCTGACTGCTAGAAGATCACGGATGAGGCTGGTACTTTTGTTTGCTTTTGTTTCTAAAACTAATTTTTTTAAATGTTCAGGAATTATCTGGAGTTTCCTTTCTAATTGTTATCACTTTTATTTTGTTTCCTTCTAATGGTTAGTTGATGGAAATAAGGCTGCGCATGCCTAATCACGTCATCTTATCTGAAATTTTTTGAGCTGATTCAAATTAGTGTAGGTCATAAGATTTTGGATTATGGGTAAAAACTCTTTTTTCTTTTTTCTATTTCTTTTTCCGTCATTAGTTACTTCACAAACTAGCTTTACAAAGCCGAGTTAACTGGAGTTGTAACATGACTTAATTTTATATAATGGCCTTCTCAGCTCTCCTTCCTTTCCTCCAAGAGACTTGAATTGTGTTCCCCATTTTATATTTGCTTCTCTATACATCCTCTTGCAAATATGTATCTTATCCCATGAGATCTGCACAAGGCAAGTTTTTGGCTATTTCTATGATTTCAGTTATTCGAAGTCTTTGTTTCTTTCATCCTTTATCCTGGATATCTTGATTATTTAAGCTGGTGTGAAATGTAACAGTACTATATTTTATAAATGTGATGCAGAGAGAAATATGCTGGTTGCTTCCCTCCTCTCAGGACGACAATAAGGGTGTAAGTTTATCCTTCTCTGCTTTTTAAAATATGGATGTTTAAACCAGGTACACGGGAGCAATGATTTGTACACAATTTACCATGATTTATCGTAAATGCATACCCTTATATTTTTTAACCCCCTTGCTTATGGTAACTTTCTTGATTTTAGCTTTCTAAATAGTTAGTGGAATTAGACAACCCGTAAAGTTCTCAATGTGGCAAGGTATTAATGGGATTCACTGAAAACTCTTCGTGCTTGCACATGCCTCTTATTTGGTGGCATCATCTCCTCCAATTTATGCTTAGCTGATGATACTGCATCTTGATGCAAGATGAGATTCTCATTTTGCAGAAGCTTTATGCTATTGTGTCAAATACCTTCGTGGATTTGATTTCTGGTGAAATTTGACTAACTAAATGTAAATTCATTGACTACTATAAGGGTACTATTCTGTCTGGTCTCACGAATACTTGTATTCTTGTGCAGTTTCAAGATTTTGTAGTATACTTGCAACAAAGGCAATGTGCAGGAGTAATCAAAATCCCAGCCATGAAATCCATGTGGGCAAGGCTTCTTTTCATTCTTCCGTATTCACCCGATGTGTGTTCCATGCTATCTATTGCTCCTAATCCCTCACTTTGCCTTCTTGGTTTGGTCTTGCCTAAAGAAACAAACTTTGAATGGGTTTGACCTGTTGAGTGGTGGAGGTAAGGAAGGAAAAGGAAGATTGACTTCTATTAGGTGACATGTTTCTTACTAGTATATTTCAGATGCCTGAATTCTCCAAGAATTTTGGCATTGATTAACTTTTGCATGAAATATCGTAGTTTCATTCAATACCCTGTAAATCAGCATAAATTTCTGATAGTCTGGATGAACTCCTTTGCTAGGTAATATCTTCATGAATTTGTAAGCATTAATTAGTCTGATGTTGATAAAGGTTGCCTATTTTTGGTGCATTGCTAGATATAAAATCTTATGTTCCAAAGTGTTCATATATGTTATCTTATCCAAGCTTAACTTTGCTGGTTCATAGCTAATCTCTTCGGAGTTTGGATGGGAAAGCAGCTCAAGGAGATGTTATTAAACTTTAAACATCTTGTTTTAAGTTTGTAGAAGTCTGTATATGAATGTGTATCATCCACAGGATGACTGATGAGGATGACTAATTTTTCCATCTTTAGCTTTGTGATATGCTCAGCCACAAAGGTTCCGCTTTAGATTTCTTTCCCCTGTGCCAGTATGCCAGCATAGATTCCACGTTAGCGAATAATTGATTGATCTCATAGTCTTGTGCTGCGAAAATGATAAAAGGTGTCACAGAATTAAGTAGGTTTTGTGAATGCTTCCTGTAGTTCCCTCAAACTTTAAAATTTGGATGAAATGATTGAAATTTTATTGCTACCGCAAGAATCAGGTTGTCAACCAAGTTATCCTCACTCTACTGTAATTGGTTGTTGAGAATTTGTTCTCGGTACGTGTAGGTATAGTGAAAGTACCCCATTAATGTTAAAAATACGGTTCCACAGTCTTTGTTTATAACCTCTTTTGGACGTCAACCTGAACCTAGGATTTGAAGCAGCGTTGGAGTAACAATTGGCTAATAAGTAGTAGCTTTTATGGTTAATTGGCCTCTCTATCATTTTTGCCATTTCAAAGGTAATTGTAAAATTAAAAATGTTGAAGGAAAATCAAGATAATTTTAAAATTTCTGCACAAATTCCAGGAAAAGGTATTATGATCACGCTCATGACGGTGTACTTTGTTCTTACCAAAGGCCCTTATATGCTCCTACCAAAAGAAAAAAAAGAAAAAAAAAATTGCATGCGGTACCCACTCCTTTGTCAATCCACCTTTTTTTTTTTTTAGGGGTTTCAAAAGCCATCTCTCTCCTGCACTAATTTCCAGGTAAAAAATAGGACTAGAGCGAACTTCCAAAGTTTACCTTTTTAAATTACAAAAAAGTTTGAGAAACAAGTGCAAATCCAATATGTTTAAATTCTAGTAAAATTTGGTCCATATGATGAAATACAATCTAAGTTTCATCAAAAGTCTTGCGTGAATAAACTAAACAAATTCACTATCAATCAAGATCAAGTTAGTTTCTCATGTAGTAATGTTGTATTTTATGTTAAATGGAATAATAACTAAGCCAAACTCACACACATTCTTAACCTTCATATAAAAATGGTTTTTTTTTTTTATTGGGTGCTCAAGAGCACACTCATTAGTACACTTAGATCACACTTATCTTTTGTTGCATTTGTATGTTTTTCCTCATTAGCATTACTTTCCAAAAATATGAACATGCTTTCTCTAGTTAACATTATTTTTCTAAAATATGAATACCTAAAATCCGTTTTAATGAGTATTTAATGGGCACTAGTTAGACAATCTCTACAAAAATTAAACAAAATATTTTTTTTGGAGAACTTATTATTTTTTGTAAGTTTTCAGAAAAACTAAAATAAAACAAGAAAAAAAGTTGTTCAGGGGACTTTTTATTTTTTTTATGGGATAATTTAGTAATTTCAAATAGCTCTCCTCACGTTTTGAAAATTACACATACCTCTCCTAAAACATAGGTTTGGGTTTCACCTTGATGATGTAAAACCAAAAAAGTATATGAACGCCCAAAATTGCCTCATCTAAATTTCCTTAATATGAATAATCATTAAAATTTTTAAAAAGTCAATAATACACTTGTATACTACCAAAATTATGAGTTTTATTATTTAGCCAATATTTTGATATTTTCCATCCCTATGGTTTTCTACATCCACCCAAATTTTCAAACTCTTATCACTTTTTCTTCTTGTGAACAAACTCTTTGTCTTAGATGTCAAAATCCACCTTCGTAATTCTTACCTTCATAATTTTTACCTCTTTATAGGTTTCTTTCATATATTGCTTACCAAATCATTAGTCATAAAACTCACAATTCTTACCTTTTTTTCACTCAAACGGCCAAGCCCTCAGTTACCAAAATCATTCTAACCCATACTTTCAACATTTGGGTTGGTCATTCTAAATCAACCCACATTTTTTTTTTCTTCTAAATTGACATAATTTTATTGAGAACAAGTTTGATGTCTATTAAGAGAAACTAGGCAAAACATCAACAAAGTGCAAGTTTGGGATAGTAGTTTTAGTACAATTTATCAAATTTTACTTTTCTGTAATCCAGTAGTTTTTTTGTGCTCAATGATATGAACAATTGAGTTGTTGATAGTGATGATTGCTTCCATCATCATCAACAACGGTAACATATTTGAGTGATAGAAAGGAAGGAAACATCTATCTTGATTAGCATACTTGAGTGATAGAATGTTATAATTTAATGGTTATGGTTAAAATAGTTTGGCCACAATATATGGCTCGGTCAAAAAGAATTGTTTTCCTTTTTTCATTATCCTTTTTCTGTTATCTTTTTCCTTTTTTATCAATGGCTTGTCTTTTGAAAAATTATGAAGGTTATTATAGTCATTGTGTATCATTAAGGGAAGTAAGTGTAATATTGAAAACCTCAAGGAGCTCAGTGAAATTGTTAGAAATTCAAGGGAGGTTTCTAAAATTAGCCCCTTTTTTATTTGTAGATTGGTCAAGGTGGCGACTGCTACTTATATATATGTTGCTGGCGACTGCGAGTATTCAGTACCGAATCCCTTCTCTGCTGTCTCCCCTTTCTCTGAATTTGCTCACAAAAATGTCGAATAGATTCGGCAATCAGAATTACAGGAATGAAAGTAACAAAAAGGGATTTCATAAAACTCAAAAGCAATTTATTCCTAAGAAAGAATCATCTGCAGATCAAACCTTCTCCAATTCTTTAAGACAATCCTTTTCCCGCCAATCCGATGCAACATCCAGCGCCGCTGCTGCCGGCCGAAGTGGAGGTGGCGGTGCAACGGCGGCTTCTGGGAATAGTAAGGTTAAGATGGGGGAGAATGGGAACTGGGTTTCTGATAATAGTACTACTGGAATTCAGACTGGCAATTATGTTAATTACTTGCCCCAAGATGAGGCGGTGGCATCTGGGCTAGGGGCTGATGAGGGTGGAGTGGACCCTGTGGAGTCTCAGCGGGTGGTGGATCTTCTGAACAGGGAGTTGTCTCGGTTGCTCAAATTGAAGCCCAGAGATTTTTGGAAAGAAGGTTACCATTTTGTCTTTCTTCAAAAAATTTTTTTTGTTTTCTGCTAGTAAACAGTTTGCATTTTTTTTTAATTAGTTCATTTTGAATTGAGAAGAGTCTTATTAAATGGTGATAAATATGTAGGATGAAAAACTATTGCCTTAGAATGAAGGAGCCGGCAGGGTTCCCTTTGTGCTAATAGTGACAAATTCAATCTTCTTTCAAGGTTTAGCTTTGTACATTTTTGACAAATTACAATGCCAATTGAAAGAGTATTTTCAGCAATAAGGTCAAGGAATTGTGAAATGCTGTTGGAATTTGTTATGGAATTAGTATATTAGTCATATAACTAGAAATTATTGGCATGCCACATATGAATAATTACTTATGCTAAGCGTGCTCGTAATGATGTTGACCCCTTTCCTTTTTGTTTTTCACAGTGGCCAGCGACACCTCTCTGCATGCTTTTCTAGAAAGCTTCTTGAAGTACAAGAGCAGATGGTATGATTTCCCATATCGTGGAGCCAAGGGTATAGTCGCTGGAGTCATTGTTGGGGAGTTTGAGCTGTGTCGCCGTGTATTTATGGTCTTGTATAGAATGTGAGTTTTGAATGCTGTAGTTAAATTTCTATGATAGGTTTCATTCTGTGAGGTGGAGATTTTTAGATTTGATTGATTCGGATATCGTACCATCCAGATCTTCAAATCGGGATCCTGGTGCTAAGACAGCTGATAGTCTCAGTTCAAAAGATCATGCAGGTATGTGGTTCTGTAAGAAGCATTTGCAAATGATATGTTGCCCTAGTTGTTGGATACGAATGTGCTGCTGGTGACTTAGAGAAAACCCACCCCCCCCTCCCCAAAAAAAAATAATTATAGCATGCTGTTCTATATGCATACTGGAAGGTAGATTCTTTTGCCTTCCAATGCATCACACGCTATTTGGTAGTTAAGAGAGCATGTCTTGGTATTTTTCCCCCTGTTTGTGATTTGTTCTCCATTGGTTGTTGAGATATATAAATGTGCTATATAGGCACTGAAAACACTGAGCTGCAGAGTTTTCAAGTAGTAGTTTTATATTTTGACATATGCTGGACTTCTTTGGAATGCACTTTGTTCACTAATTCCATTTGTAGTTCTTCTGCAGGACAAGAAGTTGCTTGACTTGCCAAAGTTACTAGATATCTGTGCCATATATGGTCATGAGAATGAAGATCTTACCAGATTATTGGTAAGTGTGTGGGATTAAACTGGTATACAATTTTGTTTCTTCACAATCCTTTGCTATTGTGCTTCTGTCTGTTACATCATGCAGGCTATAAATCGTTCTGAATTGTTCATGGGACCCCAACTCAGTCTTCTTCTTCTTCTCTTCTGGTTTTGCCAAATTTGGAAAACTGCTGGGTTTTTTTTTTCTTATGAAGCATTTTTGTGTTTTGGGTATTTATTTACATGATATTGGATGCTTTTAATGGTTCTGTATCTCTGTGTCATCATCATCATTTAGCATAAAGCATGCCTAATGTCATTCTTTGTAATTGGACTCTAGTTACTGTGTTTTTTGTTTATTGGTTTCTGGGCTACCCTCATTTGTTTTGCTGGTTAGCTATATGCTATTTCTTCCTTGCTGAAAATGTCTTTTTAATCTGTACCATGCTGTATGCAGTGTTTGTTCAAATACTCAGCCTGTCATATCGTTTTAATTAGATTTCCCTATAATATCATTAGCTGAATTTATTGGTTTTTTTCTGTAAAAAAACACATTTGCTGGTTGAATTTCTGGTTTTAGTTTGTTATTTGCATCTTGCATCAATGAGTTTTCGGTATATTGATATTAAAATCTTACAACTAATGTTGTGCCTGCAAACATGTTGAAAAAGGCCTGTGGTGTATGAGTTGGTAGCTCTTTCCCTATTTCCTCTCTCATGTTGCTGTGTTTAATGATGTTCCTCAGGTTGTGAATGCAATAAAAGCTCAGTGGTGGATGCATGATAAGTTTACAGCAGTTTTGTCACATTTTCTGACCCTCATCCAGACAATGTATCAACGTTGTAGCTCATCTTTAGAGGTGGTCTTTCTTCTTCTGTTTGCGTTTATATGTTTCCTGGAAGGTGGAGTAGATGCTAAGAACAATACATTTTTTATGATATTATTATGACAAAACATTTTCATTAAATTTTTTCAATCTGCTTTTTGGTGAGCTTAGACTTATAACAGATGTTTTTTCCCAGGACCTGGTTTAATTTTTCTCCATCTTTGCATGGTTCTTTATTGGTTATGAACATTACATTTAGCAAAAGCATCTTATATGATGTGCCTGTTGTATACTTGCTCATGGCCGGGCATGGTTGTGCAAACGCACAACATATGCCCATTGCCACATGCACATAGTGTATGGTGAATCATGATTTTCATCTGCATTTAGTTGACATTTTAGGTGACAGGAGAAAATTATGATTCTCATAAGAGTGGTGAAGTCATATGTATTTCTCATCTGTATACATATGTTATATTTTTTTTCAGCGCTGGGTAGTGTTTAGTATAATGTGATTAGTTGGTGGAGTTAAAATTGGTATCTGAAAGTTTAGGATCTAAAGGTGATAATCCCATTTGGATTGTTAGTTTAAGTGTCAATTAGATGCCCTTATTGGTCCTCAAAGTGCTTCAATTTTTTTTCTACTGAATTCTAGGCAACCAGCTGGATTGGATTTTTAAAGTTTATTTCCTAAATCAAAGTTGTTGAAGGACTGTACAATGTGATGGAGAAAATGAAAAATTTTATTCTAGCAAAGTTTTTCTTGTTTACCTGATTTGTGAGTAATTTGTGTTGAAGAGTTATGCTATGTATTTGATGCGGATGCATGTCCATTTGCAGGTCCTCTTTGCCACAGGTAACTTACAGGATCAACCAGTTAGTCGGCTTCGTGCAGACTACTTAGAGGTAGCTTTTTCTTCATTTCTTCATAGATTTTTAGGGTAGTCCTCTTCCAATACCCTCCACTCCCCATTACCCCTGCCAACAACACCCTTTTTGCTGTACAAGTAGAAGAAGAAAATTTCTCATTGACAACCAAAACAAAAACAAATGAAGCACTGAGAAATTCCTCCTTTTCCCTTGGGGATTGTAGAATAATTTCATCAGAGCTTTCAGAGAAAAAGCATCTTACCATTCTATGAGGACCATCCTCAGTCCTTAAAAGGGTTTAGTTGGTTACCAAAAGCTAATGTATGTTTGCTTCAAATGGGTGGTTATTTTGAAGCTGTCATTGTTTCTCCTCACTTTCTAGAAGTACCAATCTGTCACCACTTTTTAATAGTTCATCATTGTCTTACTATCATTTGCAGGTTATGGATTTTATAAATGATGCAGTTGTCAATATGGATGCATTTGTTGCTGCATACAAGTATGCAGCTGTCTTCTTCTGTTGTCCTGTTGATATGAGGTATTGCATTCACTCTGGAAGTTCCCCTCGTACAACCATTCAAACATTGTAGATGCACTCCATTTCAATTAGACGTACGAGGCTAATGCAATCATAACAATAACCAATGTTTTTGGCAAACTCAATGTGTGTCCATATTTTTTGATGTATATGTTATTAGTTAAGTGTGAAAAAAGATTTTTTTTTTTATTTTGTGCTAGCAGTTTGAAGGAAGTTTTTAACTTATTCTAAATATCATTAAGACAGAGAAGGGGAAGTAGGTCAGTTAAAATCGAGATGAAGAAGGGTATTTTAGGCATTCTATTAAGTGGCAGAAAATTTTTACACAAATGACTGCTCACACTTCAGAGAGATACTTTTGGGTAACCCATATAGCTAACTGGCTGAATGAACTAGTCAAGGAGACAATTCTGCTTTAGAAACAAATTTGAACATGATAAGAATGACCCCACTAAAGCTTGCTTAAAGTTGCCTCAGCATTTTGCTAGTAGATGCATTACATTTTTGCTCTTCATAGACAAAGGAATTTACTGAATGACGTTACATGGCAGGAGGATGAGAAAAAAAATGTTGTGCTTCATTGCAATTTAGTAATATTGTGAACCCACATATTCCCCAATTATCTTGGTTTCAAATTCCCCATCTATGTTGAGCATTAATGAGTCAACCACATTTTTAACCAAGGAAATTACCAGTAGTCATCAACAAGGAAGAAAATAGTTGTTGATAGGTTCAATCATGATGCAGTTTTATGCCTAATTTTTCTATCTGCATGCTTTAAGAAGTCATGTAATTTCCTTCTCCCTACAGCCATGGAAATTAACCATTCCTTCTCCCTACAGCCATGGAAATTAACCAAGGAAATTACCAAGGAAATTCCTTCTCCCACATTTTTAACCAAGGAAATTACCAGTAGTCATCAACAAGGAAGAAAATAGTTGTTGATAGGTTCAATCATGATGCAGTTTTATGCCTAATTTTTCTATCTGCATGCTTTAAGAAGTCATGTAATTTCCTTCTCCCTACAGCCATGGAAATGAGGAGCTGCTCACTACTCTTGCAAGACTACATGATTCACTACTGCCATCATTGCAGAGGGGTTTTCACATTATTTTGGCTTCAAGAGATGACGCAATACAGGAAACATCTGGTGACATGCTTTCAGATATTTTAATCAGTTTGAAGTTGTTGTCAACGAGAATAGTAAAATTTGGTTGGAAACTACTGTATTTCTGTTATTTAAGTGATGAGGCATTTGAAAATAGTTGTCCTTTTCCGGCATCTATGAAGATGTTTCCAGCAAATGTGGATGACCCTATCATAAGGACAGACATTTTGGTACAAACACTAAGAGATATTGGCCAAGAGTTCTCAAGCATAACTGAGGCAGAAAAAAGAGGAACTTTTCTCCAAAATATTGAGAAGGAGCACAAGATCATGAGCAGAGTTGTGTTATTACAAAACACAGGTACAATTCTATGTGTAACGAGGTTTTAGATTAGATGGTTGGCTTCCTCTAGAGTTATGAGACATTATCAGATGACATTAAGAGTTACCTCACTAGAAGGTATATACAAAAATATAGCTATATGTTTCAGGATTTCATGTCAGAGGGTGATTTTTGGAAAATTTTAGGAATTGACAGTTAATACTGTTACATGTAGCATATTCAGTTTTATGCATGTGAGAGATTATTGTTGCAATGCAGTGTCTGTTATATTCCCAGAGAAGGATGACATAGTTTCATGGAAGACCTTACCATAGACAGAGATAAACATGCCCCTCTCTCTCTCTCTCTCTCTCTCCCCGCTGGTGTTTGAAAATCATTAAGCAATTCCCGGAGGTCTCTCACGAAATATATCAATTTTGTTGTTTCCAATGCTTGTTTTTCATGGTAGTGTGCATAAACGTCTTACCAAACGCAGCATGTTTTGAGACTTCGACTGTTTTTTCCCCTTTCTTTTGCAGGATGGATGTCTTTGGATGATGATCAGAAGCAGTTTCTTTCTGGTATCCTTAAGCATCCACTGGAAACCAATGCAAATGATGCATCGCACACAGCATCTTCAGGAACAGTTGGTAGCGTGCAGACTGATGAAGACAATGCAATTTTGGAGTCAAAAATCAGTCAAATAAAAGATTTGTTCCCAGACTATGGCAAAGGGTTCTTAGTTGCTTGTCTTGAAGTATATAACCACAATCCAGAAGAAGTGATTCAGAGGATCCTGGAGGGAACCCTTCATGAAGATCTTCAATCCCTGGACATATCATTGGAGCAAAGTCTAGTAAGAAAATCAGCTGTGTCTGCAAGCACGATGGGCAAGGGAAAAGGTAAACTGGTAGAATCTGCAACCCCCATGAGTCAACTTGTAGCCTATCAACCTGAGGGTCCATCAATTTCATCTTCCTCATCTTCTATAGGAAGGTATATCAGGAAGACTGCTACTGACTTACCGGAGACGGAGACCCTGGATTGCAGGGATGAGAAGTACATAGAAAAAACTTCCGCTCTTGTTTCACAACTAGAGTACGAAGATGAATATGATGATTCTTTTGATGATCTGGGCCTTAGTGTTGGTGATTCAGGGTTGGAGGAGACTGAGATTTTGGGTGACAAATTAGCTTCTGATAAGGGAAAAGCAAGGGCGGCTGATAATGATAGCTCAGCTCCAAACACTACCTCAAAATGGAACTCTCGTAAAAAGCCCCAGTTTTATGTCAAGGATGGTAAGAACTACAGCTATAAAGTGGAAGGTTCTATCGCCGTTGCTAATTATAATGAGGCCAAACTAGTCAGTCAAGTCCAGAAGGAAACTATCCTTGGTCTTGGACGTGGCGGGAATATTCCATTGGGTGCAGTTAGAAGGTTGGCTGAGTCTAATGAAGAAACTGATGTCGGACCTGATAGTAATGAAGGTGCAGGAAGAGGTGGTAGGGGGAACTTCAGGGGCAGAGGAAGGAGAGGTGGTGGAAGAAGCCATTACCGAAAAGATCAAGCTACGAGGAAGCATTTTTCTGGAGTAATGAATTGATTCGTACAACTATACCCTCTTTTCTGTGATACTAATATAAGATCTCGTTGTATAGTTAATTGTACAGAAGATAAAATTTTCTTTAGTGAGGGAAAATTTCATATTTTACAGGAACAATAGCATACTGATTCTGGTGTTTTGAGACTGGTTGCGCGGAAGTTACTGCATCTGGTAATGGGTTAATAACAACATGCACCCGTGAGAAATACATAATTTTTATTTTACCCCGTGCATTGTCCAATTGCATCAATACGACTTTTTTTCCCCCCAATATGATGCACTTCACTTAGTAAACCAATTTGACTATGTTTTCATAATTTAAGTCCATTAAATACATCCACAATGATTTACACTTTTTAGAATGTAATTCACATGTCACGTCAGCATTCCATTTTCTCCTCTTTTATTACACTTTCACTCATAATGGATTACACTCCACAAAGTATAATAGTATGGGTCCACTATTAAATTAAATATTTATTTTAATAATGCATGACTCATATCCCATAAATAAATAAAGTAGTTTTTAAAAATAATTTTGTTATTTTTAAATAATAAAGTATTAAATTTCATTAAATTTTTTACCTTTTGAATTTTTTATTTTCTAAAAATAATATTATTAATTTTCTATATTTGGAGCATTTAACATATTTGTAAAACTACTAAAATTTTCATCCATAATCACAAAATATTGAAATTTTAAAAAATTGTGCACAAAGGTTGAGGAAAATGAGTGAGAGAGTAAAAGAAATAATAGAATAGAATAGTGGGATATGAAAAAAAAAGTGTGTTGTGTGTTTATATAGAAAATTAAATTATGATTGTTGGAAAAAAATGAACGTTGCAAATGGACTCCACAATTGCAAAAAAATGAACACGGCTAAATTTTATAATAGATAGCTCACCCATTACACGCATCATTTTGATGATGCGTGTAATGGGTATTACACAGCCACAATGGATAGCCATGTAACCAACCCTTAAACTGTCAGACATTACACCGCTTATTCCACGCAGTTGGAGATGCTACGTAGTTGGAGATGCTCTAAGATTCGATGAAACGACCTAAATGAAATGATAACTCGGGAAGAAAGGTATGGCCGCGCGCATCCATACATATCGAGCGACAAACATACCCTCCTAGTGATGGCTTGCGGACAATGATGATCTTATCATGTGTAGACCTTTTTCACAAATTGAGACACAATTAGTTCTTCCCTTGAAATATTTACTCCTCAGACGACGACAATTAATTGTATTCAATGTAGGGTTGCGAGGTTGATTGTCTCGCACTATAAAATTTGAAACTTTGGAAGCGTGAATCGATCTAATCAAACAATGAAGAGGGCAAAGTGGATTATACGTCCTCCCTAAAGAGGTACTTTGGCAATTGACTTTCAATCTCTTTGGTAACTAATGCTGTAAGCATCCGTATCTAAAGACAAAGGATGCTTTGCCCTATACACCTAATCTCCGGTGATTTATGCTTTTGCTTTTCTGCCGGCTGAGGCTTGCATATTTTCCCCCCCACCGGGCAAAATGGAACCTGATCTATTTTGTATCCCGACAATCTACTACTTGATATACTAGAATCGTGAAACAGGGATCATGCGGCAATACGAGCAAGGAGATCAAACGAGCACAACATCATTGATATTTGCACTGTCAAAATGCTGAGACTTGCACTTTCACTGCAACTTCTGTCTTTGGGAGACAAAATAGTTCATCCCAGTAAACAGTTTATCAAATGCAGTTATGCCCAACATTCTACTACATTAAAACCTTATTCATTTAATTAGTACAAAGAATAACACATCCAGTATGGGAAACTAGCACGCTATGTGATTACTACTAAAACAATGAACGGAGTACAACGGGAAGCTGGCCACATGTAATTTCAATGATTTACTGAATCTCAAGCCATCTCGTTGAAACACACAGCATAGTGCCCGGTGTTCTTGTCCTGCATACGAGCATAACGACGTCAAAATACAAACCAACTATAGCCGTATTAAGATGCCAAATTTACCAGAAACGAATTATAATGTGTTTCTGCAAAGAAGTTTCCCTCAAATGACACATTTCCCAACACAAAGCACCAAAATTTTAAACAGATTACATTGTACCAAAGTAACGTGCCAATGATCCAATACCAATACCATGTTATTCACACACTATAAAACAACACAACGGTGGCTTCCATGATTAACAAATCAGATAAGAAGTTTCTGTATTACCTGGGATATCATCCTCTGTTTGTTCAGCAACTGAGTCCTTGCCTTATTAAGACCGGAATTTGGTGATCTGTATAGCCTCTGAGGAAGGACAAAATAAACCACAGTTAATCACAATACCACAGGACAGAGACGTGTGCCTGAATATCTAATGAGCCACACGCACCCACACACCCAATAGACAGGAGGTAATGAAAGAGGTAGCGAAAAGCAAGCAAACCCAGCATCTCTATTCCCGTTCAGTGAAAAGTAGCAGATTCATCATGGCAATTCAAATACAGTACAAATTAATCAATAAAATTGATTAGATATATGACCCAAACTACTCTTCTGAAAATAGATGAATAATTTAAGGTTACTCACTCAATCTGATACTCTTAGAGACAATAGTAGTAGATCTAGAAAGCAAACATCTATACCAAAATAAAAGTGGCAGAAAATTGTCACCTTTTCACTGGCAGATAAACGATGCTCAGCAGCTGACATGAATTTCTTCTTTGGATTGAAACCAAAAACGTCATGAAGAAATTCATTTTCCTATTTGGACAACAACGACCAAATTTTAGGAAACCTAATAAACATCTATCAAGAACAAAATATTTATATGGCCCAATTATTTTCTGAGGCAAAAAATGAGTTAAGGGATCAAATTAAATTAAAAAAAAAAAGACCTGCACATGCTTCACAAATCCTCCCCCAAGAAAATGCTTTAAAAAATTCAACTGTCAAAACAAAAGAACAGTCAGCTTTGACAAAGCTTGCAGGTCTGACATTCCAAAAAGAAAGAGCAGGGTGAACCTGGATCAATTGAGCCCACGAAGTTGTGCTCAAAGACTCTCCAGCAACCTTCATTGAAGTTTCTGGACTATATCCATCCTGATTAGCATTTAAAGAATAGCATCAAATGAGTTTTTAATCCTTAGGATGGATAACTATCACCACCACAGAAGTAAACAAAGAAAAAAGATAGATCACCTCGAGAAATTCCAAGATATCGCGAAATGTATTTCTTTGGCTATTGAGATCTTTCTTTGCAGAACCTTTGCCACCAGCCTCTGTTGAAAGATTCCTCACTTGGTTTAAGATTTTACCCCTCAGACCCTGAATATGCACCAGCTCCCGAGATTTGTCTGCTTCACTGTTAGAGCCATCACTGGATCCCTTAGATTCACCCGCAAACTTCTCCAAGCTCCCCACCTCAAAAATTAAAGCAAGAGCTTCACCAGCTGCAATGCGCACAGATCTCTCCTCCTTTTCCAGTAAAGTAGAAAAGTAGTAAATTGGCCTGCATAATCAAGAAAATGAATATAATTTCTTCTACCTGCAACACTCACTAAAATTACTCCAGAATATAAATATAATACTGAAAGGAGGAGGAGGTTTACTCTTGCCAACTTTTTTGGTTAAGCGTCCAACCATCCACAGTTGTAAGCAGGAATGACCAAGCAGACACTACTGTGGTTATCATAGCTGGCGAAGGTCTACCTGCTTTGACCTGAACGGTAAAGAAACCAAATAAGAATAAGCATTAGATCTACAGCACTAAATAAAAACATTCTATACCTACAACACCAGGTAAAAAAAATCTCTACATGTCAGCATATAATAGCAAACCAGAAGTTTATTACCAAACTATAATTGATAATGAATATATGCACATTCATGCCCAATTTACAGGTATGTGCAGAGCAGGGAAACATAAAGTAGGTAAAAAGATGAATCCCACTTTAAACAGAATAGGAAAGTTTATGCATACATACATTGGGACCCAGTTTTGGATGAGCCACTTGCCACATTATTTGCATTGATTTTTCCGTTTGCTCTGGCTCTTCAGCACCAACAAAAGTGATGATTGCCAGACACTCCAATAACTAGAATCAGCAAAGGTCCATAAAAACAATCAGCTTTAACAGCAAAAAAATTCAACTTAAGAATCCCAAGTCCAAATAATATTATCCATCAATATACAGACCGAAGACATCTTAGATACTTCACTTCGAGATCTGAGGGCCTCAGAAATAGGAGAGATTGAGTCTTCCAGTATTTCTTGCGATTTGTCTCCAGGTCCAGCAGTCAAAGCCAAAAGTCCTACAGAGAACGACATAAGTTCAATAATAAGCAGATGAGACATAAGAGCAATTTAACTGATGATTAGCTCAAGGATTACCAATAGCGTGAGCAGCCAAAGCAACCTCTTTAGCAGAACCACGCTTGATGGAACCTATGCACTGATGCAACAGTGTAGCAAACCTGGAAAGCAACATAACTATGAGAATTTGAAAAATATATGAATGCCACTTGAACAAACGTACAACATCCAAAATCTTGAACTGAAAAATATAAAACCACACAAAAAAGGTCTCTTTCGCATATTCCCATCCCCATTGTAAGATAAGATTCTAGCATTTGGAGTAAAAAACAATGTAGAAGCAGTTTCTTATCATGTGTCCAAGAGAAAGCAAAATTCACGAAAACCACATCTCTTTTCAAATAAAACATCATACATATTCTTTGAAATATGTTAAAGCACCAGCAAAAAGTCATAAAACATCAGTATATCAAATCCCTATATCTTAACAAAATTATAAAAGGGCAACAATTAAACCACACCCAATTGATAGATGCATACAATAGAGTACCATAGTTCCCAAAAGTTGAAAAAACCCAGTAATAGCCAAACAAATTAAGAAAAGCCTTACTTCTTTTCCACAAACTCATGCTGTAAATTGCTATTAAAAGACTCTATAATAGCTGCCAATGCTTTCTCCCTTGTAGACCCCCTGTAGACATACCATAATTGCAAATCTCAGACATCATATAAAATGGAAAGTCACCACAAGCCAACATGTCACAATGTCCAAACTCTAGTAAGTGCACAGCGTTAATGAAAATCTGTATGATTAGTTTGAAAGCCAGTACCTTTTCTCATAAAGATCATCTAAACATTGATCAAGAAAAGTCTCCCTATCAAATTGAACATCCTCAGAGCCTGACACAACCATAGAATCGGAACGGACAGTAGATGAGGAGCTAACACTATCAGTATCATCACTATCCAGCATAGCTGCATTCTTCTTTTGTGAACTCCCTACAATTTCAAACCCACATAATCACCTTCAATATCAATGTCAATTTACAAACAACCCTATATCAAAGCAAAAAAATTGCCAACTTGGGCAATCTAATAGCACACAAAACAGGAAATTGCATCAACCAAAACAGGCAATTAGTTAGTAAAGTGGTGACATTTATTATCCTACAAGCAAAATTATGGCAACAGACTTCCCAGCAGCAGACATTACCCCATGAACAAAATGCACCAATAAACAACAAACAATTTCAGAAAAAAAAAAACACAATTCAATGAACTTCAGCAGCCCTATTGGACCTGCAGCTATTATCTGTAACAGAATTGAATAAGATTTCTAGTAAATATTACGAAAAAAATCAACCAAGAGAGGGTATCACTTGATTAATCTAACCTTAAGAAGTTGCAAACTAAAGATTGAAATTAAAGTGGTAAGTTTTATCTGGGGCACATACAGAACTAGCATAGGTCTTTCCGCCCAAGATAGCAAAAATAAAGAAAAATGATCATATATTTGCCTGATTATTTCATAAAATCTCACAATGACAAGTTGCCAAAATCAGAAACTATCCCACCGGAAAAAACAATTCAAGTAACACCCAGAAAAGAAAAAACTAAAAAGACAGAATAAACGAATAAATTTAAAAAAAAAATTTTGAAGAACATACGTCTGCCCATGGTGGTGATGATTGATGAGAGCTCCTAATTAAGTAGCGTCAGAAGCAAAAAGCACAACAAGATTGACTAGTTGGAATTGGACGGTGGAAAGCTATTGAAACAGAAAGATCGGATGGCTGAGATTGAGAATTAGAAACAGGAAAGGAACTGCTGGCCAGATGATTCAACTTCTTCAACTTTATTAATTCGAGGAACAACGTATCCATGAAAAATTTCTCGGAGATAAAAAGATTGGAGGATTTTGAAGGAAGGGATTCTGACGTTGTTTTTCTTTTTCAGATGATTTTTAAGGAAGAAGAGCGAGGCGTGTTGAACGAGGGTACACAGGTTTTATAGAAGAAGTTAAACACCAAGGGAAAAAAAAAAAAGACTTAATATTTACTTTTCCAGTTAGGGGAAAATGGAGATGGAAAATTGCACAAATGGGCCTCATGTCTACAAATTATCTGTCCTTCCTTGATCTTACACATTTGAAAGGATATATTTTCATTTTACATGTTGATAATTATTTACTGCCACAAACTAGTTAGGTATTTGACAAGCATCAGTCTCTCATTTTGGCACATTTCAGTATTCAAGAATGTTTATTTATTTAATCAAAATTAAAATTCGGCTCAAACTTAAATAGCTCTAATTTTATACATGTAAATTTCATATTTTATAGGAATCGAGCTAAATTCAAGTCAAATTTGAAATTTTATCGAACACAAAATTCTATTCATATTTTAATTAGTTAGTTAATAGATTTAAATTAAAATGAGCTTTTATCACATAGAGTTTGATTCAATTATTGGCTAGTTTAGTTTGTCTTCTAATTTATGGTCCATAAGTTATTAGCAGGAAGTGTAAGCTGAAAAAAATGGATTAACATGGAACTTGAGACGAAAATGTCAAATTTCGGATGTTTTTGCCAGGTTGAAAGTACACAATTCTAAACTAAAGGGGTAACAAGTAGTAATAACTTTACAACGAGTGGGACAAATTGCGAGACGGTGCAAAATGGAAAAGCTGCGGCGAGGAGCAATGGAATTATTCACGTTGGCTGGTTTGGAATATTCGGGGTCCGGCGATCGTGTGGGGAGAAGTGGTTGTGGTGACGTGGAGAGATCAGGACCGTTGCTTAGAGACGGGTCCGATGATGTTGTGGAACGCTCGGTAGGAATGGAAACAAAATTAATTAAACCAAATATTCTAGTGTTTAAATTTTGTTCAATTATTTTAATAAATTTAAAAATTTTATTTAATTTTGATTTATTTGTTTATTGAATCGAATTTAAATAAATATTTTATTAAACTTATTGAATATAAAATACTATTCAAACCTAATTTGATTAAATGACAAATGAATTCTTACGAATCCAACGCAAACTCAACATCGAATAGTAAGGTTGTGTTTGGATTGTATTTTTTGTCATTTTTTATGAAAAAATTACTGTAGCGATTTGATATATGTGAGGGAAAAAGATGATAGGGAAATGTGATCACGAAAATCGATAATATTTTCCGACGGAAACAAGTAATTCAAGCACGACCTAAGTAGCTCAACTATGAACGCTGGTTCCATATGCCACGTTCGGCCAGTTGTTCAAGAGGTTGAATCGGGATGTTGGAGAGCTGCCACATGGTAGGAGCACGTGCTCTTCGCTGTTGGTCCTGAGTCAGCCACGCAACTGGATGGCTCACTCGGTGGTACAGGAATTTACTGGAGGAGGAATATACAAACAGTTCTTGCTTTGCTTTCTAGTTTCTACTTCCGGCAGCCAATTCTTGGTAATAGTCTTCAATTCTACCAATTAAAAAAAGAAAGAAAGAAAATCGCTTTCGTATACCATCCAATTATAGCTACACAGAACAAATTTTCAACGTTTTTGATATCAGTAATGACATGTTGTTATCACATGGCTAGAGACAATTCATCTGTCTAATTAAATAGTTGTCTTCATCAAAGATTGTTTTGTTGCCATGTTTGACAAGTGATTTGCTTGAAAGCAACACCAGACGAGGGTTTAAAGATGGTGGGTTGTGGTTGATTTTATTGGATTGAACATAAATTTTGGTTCGAAACCCGCAAGCAGTTGGCTAAATTTGGTGTCAAGCACCTGCGGTAGAGACCACCGGTCTGTATCTGTTGCCAGATTCATCAATCAACTGCAGAATTAATTTGGGGATCTGATAAACGGATTATCCAGAAAGCCCAAGAAACTTTAGCTTTATGGGCTCTCAGACCCAGTTGATTTCATCAACCCTTTTTTGGACAGCTTTAATCATGGGACCAATATGGGTTGGACCCATTTTAATGCAGCCCAAATACCCAATAAATTCCATTTTATTTTTTAAACTATTTTTTCTAAAGCCAAATGTCTCAATTACCTTTTTAAATATCATTTACTAAGTTTGTTTAACTTGGCAAAAGTATCAACCATCAAAGTCATGGATTCTCCTCAAATGTTTGATGATTTAGTTTTGTACCTGTCCAAATTTTTACTTCCTATGACTAAATGCAACCCATGTTTCCTCTAATAGACGATCTTATACATATTTGTACAGTCCAGATGACGATGAAGTTGATTAGTTCTAATTTTTTTGCACGGTAGAAAAATCATATAATAAAACCTATGTCAATTGATTTTTTTTTTATAAATTCAGTTTTCGAGGACCAAATTTCATGAGATTTGAAAATAAATTTGCTTTCTCAAGTTCAATTTGGATGTAACGAACTTTGCTAATCAAATGTCTCAAAATTGTTGGGTGGATATTGGCATCTAGAAAAATTAATCTTTTCAGGTCTTGAGAGAAAGTAAGACTCGTGGAGTCCCAATTAGACCTATCTTTTCAATGAATATTATTGGATATTCTCAATTAAGCACAGTCTTATATTTTACATACCCATCCCGCTCAAATTAAATTTGGGCATGAAAACCCATTGGATCTTGGAACTTTTTACCACCTCTATTAAAAAGAATAAAAAATCATTTCCGGTCGTGTCATTGTACCGTCCAAATACGCGGTAAACTAGCACAATCACATTCAAAAAACTGAATTTGATTGAATGATTGTTTGAATTAGTCCATTGTACCCTCCAATTAAGTGCCGTAAACAATTATTCGGCAGGTCTCGCACGATTTAGATCCAAAAACTCGTTGGACAATAAGTGGGTGCATTGGAATTTCTCAAATTTGTACCAGACAATCTGGACCAGCCCAGAACCATTTCAGGGTTATACGTTTGAGATATATGTTGGTTATCATATTGGGAAATGGGAAACCAAAGCCCACAGGCCCGTGCTGAAGTTGTACTCCAAGCAAAAGTTGATGGTTACGGGTGGAATTGTGGACGTCCTTTTAGTTCAATTCGCTCAATTTTTGTTTAATAGGTTCAAGGCGCTTGTAACTTTATAAACATGCCGAAAGTATTCCATGATTGTGTGACTTAAGATTAGCCAAAGATGTCGAATTTGTAGTTGAGTTTTCAACAACCAAACAAATTCCTGTAATGATTAGTCTCTCAAAAGTTGTACCTCAAAGCGCTGAACTGAATTAGTACGTACGACTTGGTCGAATAGTTATAAATGCATTTCGAAATCTTTGAAGTATGTTTGGTCTCTAATTTCATGTTTTTTTAAAAAAATTCCAGCAGGAGGAAGGTGAGATTTAAGAAGTGGAGAGAGAGAAGAGAGAGTTTCAATTTCAACAATTGGAGCAAGGCCTTCTCGGCGGACTCTAATTTCATTGTCGACTCTTTTTTTCCAAAATAGTAAAAGTATTAGCTTTTTTGGGAATTTTTTGAAAAATTTTATTGTAGCAGAGTTTTTAGAGTATATTTTGAAATATGTTTAGAAAATAATTTGAAATATTTAAGAGTAGTAGAATTTTTAAAATATATTTTGAGATATTTTTTAAACATTAAAAAAAATTTAGATTACTTTTTAAAGTACTTTCTAGAGTACTTTTTAAAAATTTTTATAGTATTTAAAAAATTAGTTTTTGAAAAACTATAGGATCCAAACAGAGCCAGTATCGTGACAGTATTAGTCTCCAGAATAAGAGAAATGGAAGGGGTTCAAATTTCACTCTCTCTCACAAAATAAAAGTTGAATTGAGGTCAAAGAAATATGTAACCCGTAAATCTCATGCATGGCACATTTCACTCGCCGCCAAAGTAAACTAATTGTAGTTAGGGAGAAATGATGTATCATTTTCTAAACACATTATAGTTTATTGAAAATTAATTGTATAATATTGTAACTAATAGGATATTAAATTATCATTCACGTAAATTTATACATCTCAAATTTTGTCAATATTACATGCCATCATTTCAATTTTACGTTCTGTTTTTCCCCCCTACGAGTTGCCAAATTTTGGCCACCAACCTATGAGCGATTATTGCTAAACCATCCTCCCCACCTTTTACCCCTGTGCACCACCCACGGGAGCCTATTTCTCAGTAAAAGGCACGTTGTCAATAGTGTTTGACCATGAGGGGGTGCTGCCTTAATCACTCAGCATGATTTTCCAAAATGGATGTATGTCTAGTTTAATGATGAGATGGTGGTTGTGGTATTCTATTCTCTTTCTTGTCGCAAACTTCTTGTTGTCTAATGAAATTCTAGGCAAGCAAAAGCAATTCCAAAGACCCTCCAATTGAAGGGACACCCCCCCGAGCCAAGAATCTATAGGAGTGAGCTGGGGGAGTAAGGGCGGGTGCAGAGCAATGTTGGGTGGGGTACAAATGGGAAGTACCCATGTGAGCACAGCACACTGCCCAGAGAGAAGTGTTTTTTTGGGGAGTAGGAGAGGAGGGTTTGAAAGGAGATCAAGTGCAGTCAAACATAACATTGGGAATCCAACCAATTATCATCATCTTTCTTGGTTTGTTTCCCCGGGGAGGTGAAGTGAATGAATGAAATGCTACTGCTACAAGGAAAGGATGGCAGAGGGGGTTTTGCTGAAAGAGATGGCCAGCAGTGTAGTCCTGGGATTTAGTAACTTGAAAAGAGTGATAGTAGCAAGCAAGCAAGCAAATTCTGATGATGATTTTTCTGAAAGAGAGGACTCAATAGATAGAGAGAGAGTTCTGTTCTGAATGCAGTACCCATTCTTCCATTGTCAGGACAACTTTCAAGTCCCCAGTCAACATCATGTACGGCACCTTCTTCTGTTCCCCCGCTGCCCAAGTTCCATGTCCCATCTTTTCGGGTCGTTATTTCCCCCCATCCAACCCTTTTTCATTCTCTATTGGACGCTTGATTGAACTTGTCCCACCAACCTATATGGGCCATAATTTTAAGCAGCAGCAGTTGATGGTGATAAAGGATTTGA